GTCTACAAGTAATCACTAGTCGCAAAGCAACTAACAATCACTCCTCAACTTGCGTTCACAAGACCCAAACACCAACTCATGTCATCGAGTTACATACTTGTCCAACATGAACATAATACCCCAGGTACGAGATAAAAGTTCATAAACAAGCACAAATCAAATGACCACTCGAATCCAACTCAACCGCCATAAGCTCATTAATGCATTTAGTCAATAGCTCTGAGCATGCCTTGAAGAGGCTAGCTATGTGATCAACACTCAGTCGAAACTAAAGTGAAGACCATGAGATGGACTCATATCGGTACACAACCTCCTCATAGACAAAGCTATAGTACGGGTACCAACATCGCAACCTCAAACAACTAAATTGGACATCACCATCCTCAGCCAAGGCGCATGGCCACCAAGACCAAGTCAAGATTAGTGAGAGCTCACTACTCTCATAGAGTCTAACGTAATGCAAGGTGCAACCTGCCACCAAGCATAACGCTACAAAAGAAAGGTACAAGGGTCACCTTTCTGAGAAAAGTGCAACGGCCACTTTTCTATATCAACTCTAGACTCTATCCAACTCAATTGCCTTAGCCCCAAAAGTCAGCATCCCTTTCAGGTCCGCAATACACTACAAGACTATAGTCAGCTACAGGTCTAAGTTAACCAAAGTCAACTCCAACCCCTTCACTAGTTTGTACTGGCTTTCGAAAAATGGAATGGTTTTCGGACAAAATGATCAATAGATCAGCCATTGGAAAAGTCTAAGAAAATTTGTGGAAAATTTCCATCCTAGAGAAAGAATGACTCTCAGTCCAGGATTGCAAACTTTCAAGACTCAACCAACTTCCTCCTACCAACAACTTCACATAGGCTCACTTCAACACAAATTCTCATGATCGAACAACATGCTTAAGCATCGAACATCTTTGCCCATATAACCGACATCCAACACCGACATCCGCAAAGTGCAAAATGAGCATCCAAGGCTTGATCACAAAGACCACATCATCGGATATCCACATTGCACTAACACTCTTCTTCAATCACTTTCAAGATCCAATGTGAAGCCAAAACATTAACAAGAAAAAATGACATGAAAAATCAAGGTCCAAGGAAAATTCCTCATCACTTAAAATAACAATGCCACTTCCACTAACACAAGTGCTAGTGATGTCAATGCGTCAACCTCACACCTTCTCCATCCAATAATCTACTCCAAGTGCTAACGGATCAACAGATGAGCTATAACAAATGAATGCTACAACCCATTCCCAACACCTTATGGGCAAACCCTTAAGGAAACAAGGTACCAACATAAGCTTAGCATAATGGACCACCATTGAGAATCCAGTCAAAGCTACTACAATGCTACTTCATGCAAGTAGACTAGCTTCTCCATCAACCACTTTGGGGTTGATCATCATTTACCCAAGCAACTTCGTAAACACATTGCTCATTATCACATGGATATGATATAAATCACAATGACTTGATCATCAATTGAGTAACGCAATGAGCAAGGCTTATGTCATTACTTCAAACGTTCATGTGAATATCAAATGCCAACTCGATTCGACAAAATGCAACATAAATGCCACACTCCACCAATAGAGGTTTACGACACCCAACACCACTAACTTTTGTTCACAACACGAACAAGCTCATGCCACTCTCTTTCCGACCAAACTCAACACTAATCCAACACCAAGCTACTCAAGGAGCAATAGCAAGGTTCCCCGGAAAAGAATTGAGCATTGCAACCCAAGTCTTCCAATAGCGAGCCTAGACAAAATGGTTTAGTGTTTCACCACTATCCATCCCATAACTCACCACTTGTAAGACCACCATCTCCAACATGCATCAAGGTAGGGACTCTTGATTGCATAATGTGAACACGAGCAATGAGTCACACCTCGTTGCAAATCATCTCTTCAAGAAGAGAACATGATTTACGTCTTTGATCCTCCGTCCCCGATGCCTCTCTTTTCGGTCTCATCTTTGACCAAACCTCAAGCTTGCTTTCGCACTGCCTTCAGTTCAATCCAAGAAAAGTTTATGAGAGAGCACGGCAATGATCACTTGAACCAATAGACTATTCCCTACAGTCTTGATTGATCCAATTATAATCATGCCTAGGAAGGATTCACTAGTGCCGTGCTAAACAGCTATGGACTAGCCTATTTGCCACTCATAGCAAACTCAGGGAAAGTTTGCTTTCACCCATGGTACATGGAACAACTCATGGAACCACCGATAGGCTAACATTAATCTTGCCAACTCAAAGTGTAACCTCGAGTTGCTAATGCGCCTCACTCACGAGCCCAAGCGCAAACTCGTGCTACTGGAACAACTCAAATCCATCTTATGAGCCCAAGAGCAAGCTCACATAATTACGGTACAAGAAGGTAACCGAATCCATACCCAAGGAACGATTGCGAAGTCTTTGCACCCAAACATGTACCCACTTGGATCATCGTTTTCATCTCTGCGTATGCAACAAGACTAGTTGCCCAATCTCATTGAATAGTACTCGCTGAGACTCATCCTCTCTGATACCAAATGTAGCGCACCTTATCTCTCTCCCCTTAAGCCAACTGGAAAAGGGGCAATTGCTTGATGAGAGAGCCCTTAGTGGCTATTTTATCCCCATTTATCTCCCAAGGTTCCAAGGATCCACGGTGACAGTATATCCAAATCTCATCCCATGATCACATGCGCTACACTATCTAAAGGTTTCAACGTCATCAACACGGTTCTATTTTGCCATCCCACTAGCTGCATGCATGCCTCTATCAGTAATTAAACATGCATACAACATTTTTACTGAATGGTGCAATCCAACTAATCCTATATAGGTCACTTCGGATCTAATAGAAAAGTCTTTGCATATGCAACTTAAGTCAGAAAATCTGACAAAAGTTAGATAAGAATTGTTGAGACAATTTCTCTGATATCAAATGTAGCACACCTGAATTTGGAGCCAAACTCCAAGTAACATTGTGCTACGAAACAAGGGTCCGGTACAACCCCATGAGCACCAGCTCCCCATATCTAGCACCTACATGCAAAATGGTATCAGATAGACTCTAGCACAATTTTGGCATAGCAGTGGCCTAACATGAGGAGGAGGGTACCCCACCAACTAAAGCAGCATGGAGCTGTAAGCAACCAAAGGGAATGACTCGAGAGACGGTCTATGAGGTTAAAATATAGAGGGAAAGGGCCCATGAATAAAAGTGCACCCCCTTTTCCAATCGGTTAAGGGTCTTGGGATACTTGGGGTTAAGCGTCCTTGGGTTTGAATAGTACTGGGTTGGGTGACCTCCCGGGAAGTCCAAACTCAGGAGTTTACATTTGGTATCAGAGCGGTCTCGGGTCTGACTCTGTTGGTTGGCTAAGGGAATCGCACCACATGTTGATTGACATCTGGCTAGTCCAGTTTGCTCCTGTTGGGCTCGACCCGAGGGGTAGGGTGTCAAGAGAGCGGGGCTCTTAGGAGGGCTGCAGCTCTCAGCTTCCGTTCATGAGGGCATGAACTTGCAGGGAAGTGTGGTGGATTGTAAGCAACCAAAGGGAACGACTCGAGAGACAATTCATGAGGTTAAAATATAGACGGAAAGGGCCCATGAATAAAAGTGCACCCCCTTTTCCAATCAGTTAAGGGTTTTGGGATATTTGGGGTTAAGTGTCCTTGGGTTTGAATAGTACTGGGTTGGGTGACCTCCCGGAAGTCCAAACTCAGAAGCTTACAGGAGCTTGGGCTTAGACCCAAGCCGGACGTAGAACAAGGAGCGATATAGCCCAATAGGAGCCAAACTAAAGTCTCAGGTAGTTGGATATGCATTTCAACCACTATCCTTACTATACATTTGAAACCCCCATAGCCCCCCCCCCCCCCCCGCTGAGAGGAACACATGCTTTGGGCTTTCACCCCAAGCCTCCTTTAGTACTAGGAATTAGTCTCTGGGACAAGCTCAAAACTTATTAAATATGGAATGTCCTTAGATTGTGAATTTGAACATGAGATGAACACCATTATGTTCAAGCCAACCTCTACATTCTGTAGATATGCCAAACGAACAAATTTAGACACTTTCCATAATTAGCATTTGGAGCCAAAACAAGACTAACACAAAAGGTGTGATAGCGAGGGTGTTTGGTAGACACAGTAAGTTATCATCTGGCAATATTGAGGGACTAGTGTTCTTGCCAAGCTAGTGTAAGACAGAGCAAAAGAGAACTAAGAGCCAGGCCGAGAATGCTCAGCTAGAAACACATAGAAGTTCCTACCTTATGTTCATTTGACTAAGTATAGGTGCTAAGCCCAGTAAGTTAACACTTGGATAAGAGGGGCTTCTGAAGGGAACTAGTAGTACTGACCTTCTGCCGTTATGGCAGTAAGGAAAGAATGTTTGTAAGGACTGGCCGACAAGTATCTTTTGATACCTGAAGTCACATTCGCGACAACTATTGGAGGAAGGAGGGGCACCCTCCCCAACGCTTGCTCAAACATTAAAAATGCTTCAATGCTCTTCACAAAAATGCCCCTCCTTGCCCTTGTGGGGCAAGGGTTTTATACAAGGAAGATGGGGAATATTCTGAGGACCAGAATATACTCTCTCTCTCTCTCTCTCTCTCTCTCTCTCTAGCCACACCCTAACATGCAACCACGGTGGATCATGCTGGCTCCAAACACCCAAAAACCCTCCAAAGAGTGTAGAGTGTACCTCTGCTACTGATGTCAAATGCTAGTAGCTGCATGAAATAATAGAAACTCTAGAAAACAAAGTGGAAAAAAAAATAAAGAGGTAGGTGTGATGTTTGGAGACATCACATTGCGAAGAACAAACATTGGTCAATCTTACTAGGTTTTGCTTGTTAGCACCCAGTAGTTCATCCAGGCCAACAACATGATTGTGACAAGAACTTATGGCCATATGTTGAGAAAATGCCTGGATTAGGCAAATCCTGGCAAATTTTGGGCACAGTTGGGAAGCTCTCCAAGGATGTGTCTTAAGGGAGCCCAGCCAGATAGCTTTACTTTCTCGAGCGTTCTCGAGGCATGCTCGGAGCTGCGAGACTTGGAGAGTGGCAAGTCTATCCATGCTCGAGTTGCTTCCACTGGGATGGTCGAGCTCGTTGGAATGTCTCTGGTGGATCTCTACGCCAAGTGTGGGGAGCTCGAGCCTGCTAGATCCATCTTCGATGCAATGCAGAGGAGGAACAACCACAATGCTGGGTATAACACACAAGCGCTCGAGCTATATGAGCTCTGGTGTGATCGATGGCGCAATGACGCTCTGCTGTGGCGCTTGCTGATCGGTGGCTGGAATGCGCATTCCCGATCGCATCGCGCTCGTCCTCTGGATTCTTTCTGCCGCTAATCAATTTTGGTACTATGTGGATGCGATCCGACCAGTAAAGTTCCTCATTCCCTCAATCTCTCTAGAATTACATGGAGTTTGTTCTTGTGAGATATAATCCTGTGATCGCATGTCCAGTTAGAGCTTGACTTTGTGGCGAAGTTACGAAGCCTTTTATTCGCCTGATTTCAATATCGACTTTGGTTCTAGGTACTATTTAATCGCTTGATGTTAGTTGGCATTTCTCTAACACCTGGCAGCTGGACCTGTAGAAAATGGTGAAGAGCGCAAGAAAGAAGTCATACACTTTTGCAGTCGGGAAGCCAAATCCTAAACTTTCCTGAGGTATGTCTAGATACCAGTCAAGTTTTACTCTCTTTGAGTAGTGTGATGTGTTTGTCCTTGTAGCATGTCCACCAACGGCATTGAAGGAGTTCTTTCATCTTGAAAACTGGGAACTCCGGCAGTATTGCAGGAGAAAAGGCGCTCAAGTTTACTGGCTCAACTCTAAGGAGAGAAACCAGGCAACGTATGGCTAGTGAGTATGTTCGTTCTTACAGTTGCTCTTCGATTGTTCTATTGATTCAGCTCGTGTTTCTCCATCCAGCATTTTATAGGAATTCTATGTGTTGTTGGAAACATGCTCGCTTGCAAGCGATTGATCTCAGGTGAGTTTTTCTTCTTTTTTCTTTCTCGTTCGACTTAGTGCCTCGATATGCAGATAGTGAAGCGGTTTGCATCGATTAGTGATTTACATTGTCGTTGCAGTGGTGCGAGGCGAGACGATCAAACCTGGTGGGAATGGTGGCCACTTTGAAAGCTTGGATGCATGCCGATGATCCACTTTTCTCCTTGATGATTTGCTACTTGATCAGGTTCGTGTGACTGCTGAGCTCTGGTTTGTTTCTCAGTGTACACACGTACTCGGAAGGAGTTTTGACAACGCCTTGACAAGTGATTTGCTCCAAGCAGCTCAATGCCATCTCCTTCGACATGGTGTTCCGACGCAGCTGCATTTTGGTGTGATAGTCATAGTCATAGTCATAAGCAACAGTGATAGCCTCACAGGCCACCCAGCCCAGCACCGCCCGCCCACCCGCCCACTGCCCGCAGCGCCGCTGCCACCACCGCCATCGAATTTGGAACTTCAATTGTAATCTAATTTTAACTCCCAGCGGTCTTTTGGAAAAGGATTCAATCTCCTCGGACGCGATTGCGGCTCATTTTCCTTGAAGGGTATAGCTCCCAGCTTTGATACCATCCCTCACGCATGCAGCCAGTGGAGGGCTGCTCATACCTGGCTACGAGTTCTTGGTGTCGATGAGTGGCGACTACGGGATCTTTCCAGACGCCAACGCTGCAAGCTCTTGCTTGGACGACGTTACTCTCCAGCAAAGTGGTGCGAAAGGGCTGGAGTGATTACTGATATGTTGATGGGTCTTCCCCCTGCCACGTCGGGTGCCACGTAGATTAAATTCGTGCCGTACGTCATCCAGACCAACGTGTACGGGAAAGGAGGCTTGGACGTCTCTTCACTTAATCCAGAAGAAACATAAAGACCAAGGAGACAATGGAACTATCGTGGCAAACCCACGTCTCCAAGCATTTCAGCTTTATTGCAATAACAAAATGACATAATCTCTTTAGGGTTAGAGATGTTTCTAATTAACTTTTAATTGTGGACTTTATAATGGTGAGGCACCTTATTTATATGTTAATTTCTTTGGTAGTTCCTTTGGAAATCCAAGGTACCATACTCGAATTTGGATTTGAAGGAAGCACAAGTGGTATTGATATGCAAACAATAATAAATGCTATAGATGAAATTATCTCAAATATTGGTAGAAAAGATGATTTTTCAGAAACTTGGTCACATGCTATTACAATACCTTTATCAATAGGAGTAGTAGTTATAAAATTATCAAGATTTACTGGAAAATCTCAAAACTGTGCATCAAGTGGAAGTACAAATAAAATAATAAAAGGGCATACAATTTATGAGGGGTTGAGAAATTTATTAGCTCAATACTCTTTTAAAATTTTACAAGCAGCTGCAAATTATGCAATTATAACAAGTAAATCACATCAAATTTATTATAGCCGTGATGGTTCATCTGAACCAGATAACATTATTAACAACATAATAACTTTCCAATCTCTTATGGATTGTAATATATTTAAAAGTACTCTATATAGTGGTTCTAAAAATAAACCTCATCATACTTTATTAACAAATGAATACTTATCATCCCCAAATTCAAAAGTTTTCTTATTTTTACATTTAAATTGCAATTTAATTTTATATAAAGGAGAATATAAGCTATGGCAAACTTTCACTATAAAAAAAATTGTTACACCATGTTATTTGAGATTACAAAATGATGGTAATTTGGTATTGTATTCAGAAAAAAATATAGTTGAATGGTCAATAAATATATATTGTACACCACAACCAAATTGTATTACACCAACTTTTCTTAGTTTGCAAAATAATTGCAAATTAGTATTATATTCCTCAATATCCCCAAATATAAAATCGTGGGAAACAAACACTCAATGCTAAAAATATGTATAAATTATTTTAATTAACGCTGTCTAAATTATATGTGTTTTGAGAAGGATAATAAATAAATAAATAATAATATACTTTATTGTATATATAAAATTTGAGTTCATTGCTAAACAATTTTTGGTTTAATTAACTAAACTTGTACCGGGACTCAGGTGGTAGTGGGTATACTAGACTATACTTAGATATTCTAGGATATTTTATCATTTAATGGTTTTTATTTAAACATGTTTGTAATTTTGATATTTTTCTAAACACTTCCTAGTATATTTTAGTTTATTCTATCATCTAATACAATATAATTAATCTTGTGTTTATAAATTATTAACATTTTAATATTTATTAGTGAATTGGATTAGTAAATAATACTAAATAGAAATAGTACCACTATTAAGCAAACAATATGTTGCTGCATGCATTATATAGTCATGATAATATTTAAAAATAAATGATAAAACTAATTATAGAACTTATTTTCTTTAAAATTGTAAAATATAAAAATTATTTTTCTTCTCTTAGTAGTTTTTATACTTATTTAATTAAATGCACTTATTTTTGTGTAAAAAATTTATTACTGTTATTGAATATATATATATATATATATATAATTTTTGAAATTAAAATGAAATAAACATAGACAGCATTTGCTAGCTAACTCTGTATTAAATTTAGTTTATTGTTAAAATATTCAATTAATTACAACTTTTCTTAATTATTTTTCTAGTTTTTAATTTATTTTTCTTTACATGATTAAAAATATTATAAAAGTGAAAAGAAATATTTAAAGTTAAAGTTATATTTTTTATAATATAAAAAATTAATTTAAAGTTTTTAACCCTTATTAAGATATCTTTGTGTCTTGATTTCAAAAAAAAATGTTTTAGGGGGAGGTACACCTCCCAAAGGTGTACCTAACACGGGTGGCAATTTAATTATATTGCAAGATAACATATGCATTTAAATTGTTTCATGTGTGTGATTTATATTTGCATACAACCACATATGAATTCTTCATGCAAATTCACATCCACTTCTTTGATGTAGAGGAGCTTGCTTAATCTTGCCTTGAATTCTCCCACTAGGAGGATTGGTATTTGCACACTGCTGGATGGGCAGCTTTGGGAACTTGGCCTCTGCAAATTTCTTCTTGAGTCTTGTGGCATTGCAGCAGCTGGATTTGAGCAGCCCCAGCCCAACACCCAGCCTCCCATGCTCACTCCAGATCTTTGAAGATTCCCTCTCTGGTGAGATCCAACCCAGCGTCGGCAATCTCTCCAACCTCACTGACCTCAATGTACACTGCTCAGTTCCAACGCTGCAGCAGTGTGGCAATCTCATGCAGCTCAACATCACTGGCAACCGATCCTGGATATCAGCACAAATTTCTTTGTGGGATCCATCCCGGATGAGTTGTGGCATGTACGTGATCGGTTCGTATCTCCACCGCCACAAAATCTTGAGGAGCCATAAAAACCATAGAAATGTCACTCACTGATCACCACAACAAGATCTTACAATGCTTTGTGCTTTCTTGTACATGAATCAAATCTAATTGCACACTTTGAATAAAGTGTTTGTGCATATGGCATGCCCTTGCAGTGATGTCAATATTATAATGCACACACCATGTTTCAATTGGTAATAATAAGCAATCGTATTCATAATAATTTTGTGTGCAATTGAAAACAAATAAAATATCTGAACATAAATAAATGATGCACCTTTGATCACATTGCCATACTTTTTCCTTTTAATAATGTTTCTTTTCTATTTCAGTTCAATTTATTGAGCTAAATTAGAGGATCAGGGTAGATGCTCTTGACATTCTGCCCAAGACATTTTACAAGGTTGTTGTATTGGAAATTATAAGACTTAAATCCCGATCCTTGAAGTTGAAATTCTCAGAAAAACTCTCTACCAAACAGGAAATTCCAGAATTAAAAGAGTTCTACCTGAGTGTTTATTAGCTTGTTGCCGTTGCTGATGCCCCAAAGGATTAGAACACGTCCCCGAATGGGACTGCCTCCTGGAACTCCACAAACAACGATTGATCGATCGCCGGAGCGTTGGTAGGATTTATGGATCTCGATCCCAGTCGCAGGCGTGAAGAGCAATGCGAGAAAGCATGCGAGGATTGAAGAACAAGCTTGGAGCTCCAAATCCTTATCATTGTTTAGCTTTCGTTTGAGCGCACCACTCCCGTTTTTAAGGGGGCGTCCACACACTAAACGAGAAACGAAGAGGAATTTCCAAGGAGTATGCTTGATACTATAATTATAAAGGCGCTTCCCTAGTGTTAACACCAAGGATCCTCTCGTGGAGAGCTTTGCAAAATATTTTGCTAAGCCAACAAAGCATGATTGATGAGCGCGGTTCTTGGACAGCAGCGCCAATGCCGAGCCTCGCCGGACGACATCTCTCCGGCTGCTCCTCACAGAACGCGAGCCTCGATCCAGGCACTCGCGGCGCTGCTGCGGCAATGCAGGGATCTGCGCGAGGGCATCGCGATCCACGCGCGGTTGCGAGACTCTGGTCAGGAGTCGGGCACGCTGCTCGGGAATCTCCTCTTGCAGATGTATGGCAGGTGCCGGAGCGCGCCGCTGGCCCGCGCTGCCTTTGATCACATCGCCGCCAAGAACGTTTACAGCTGGACGATGATGATCTCGGCATATGCCCAGAATGGGCATCCTTGGGAGGCTCTCCAGATCTTCCATGGAATGGATCTGGAGGGGGTCTTGCCGGATGAGTTCGTCTTCTCGGCGGTTCTTGGTGCGTGCTGCAAGGCGGGCGCTCTTGGACAGGGGCGAGCGATTCACCAGCGCATCTCTAGGCTGGGATTACATTGCGATGTGGTGATCCAGAACTCGCTAATGATCATGTACGCGAAATCTGGAAGTTTGGGCGAAGCTTGTCAGGTATTTGATTCCATGGCCGTGAAAGATGTAATCTCGTGGAACTCAATGCTAGCAGCATTTGCCAAGAGAGGGCATTATGAAACTGGGCTTGAGCTCTTTGGGAAGATCGACGTCGAGCCTGACCTCGCCACCTTTGTGATTGTTTTGGGATTGTGCTGTTCTCCTTTTGGCGATAGTGGGTTTTTTCTTGTACAAGGCCGACTTATACATCAGCAAATCGTTTCCCGGCAGCTCGAATCCGACTTGGTTCTCCAAAACGCTCTGCTAAACATGTATGCGAAGAGAGGCAGCATTACGGAAGCTAGAGATGTTTTCAACAGGATGAGCAGAAGAGATCATGTCAGCTGGAATGCTATGATTGCAGCAAATGCCCACACTGGTGATTTTCTCGAAGCTTTTAAGCTCCTGAGGAGGATGGAACTCGATGGAGTCAAGCCTGATGATTTTACATTTTCCACCATTCTCCTCGCTTGTGCGAGCTCCTCTGGCATCCGGTTTGGGAAGGAGATTCTTTCGCGAGCGCTCCAGTGTGGTACAAGCGACCAAGTCGTGCAAACAGCGGCACTTAACATGTATGCGAAAGGTGGCAGCCTTGAAGAAGCTAGAGCTTTGTTTGAGGAGATGGAGCACCGGGATACAGTGTCTTGGAGTGCCATGATTTCGGCCCATGCCCAGTTTGGGCATAGCCGGGAAGCTCTCCAGCTCTACAGGAATATGTGCCTTGAGGGAGCCCAGCCGGATAGCTTCACTTTCTCGAGCGTTATCGAGGCATGCTCGGAGCTGCGAGACTTGGAGAGTGGCAAGTCTATCCACGCTCGAGTTGCTTCCACTGGGATGGTCGAGCGTGATCTCGTCGTTGGGACATCTCTGGTGGATCTCTACGCCAAGTGTGGGGAGCTCGAGCCTGCTAAATCCATCTTCGATGCAATGCAAAGGAGGAACACGGTTACATGGAACGCGATGCTCGCCGGGTATGCCCAACACGGGTATAACACACAAGCGCTCGAGCTGTACGAGCTTCTTCTTTCGAAAGGCACTGAAAAGCCGGATAGCTACACTTACGCTACTATTCTAAGCGTTTGTGCCAACATGGTTTCAGTGAAAGATGGCAGGGAGATCCACGCCCAGCTCGCTGACCAAGATTTCGTGGTGGCCACCGCGCTCATGGACATGTATGCCAAGTGCGGGAGCTTCAACGAGGCAGCAGCGGTGTTTTGGAAGCTCAAGCACAAGGATTCAATCTCCTGGAATGCGATGCTTGCGACTTATGCTCATTTCGGTCAGACCAACGAGGCGATCCATCACTTGCGGCTCATTTTCCTGGAAGGCATAGCTCCTAACGAGCTCAGCTTCAACACCATCCTTCACGCATGCAGCCACAGAGGGCTGCTCAAGCCTGGCTACGAGTTCTTCATGTCGATGAGCGGCGACCATGGGATCTTTCCAAACGCGGACAACTTTCATTGCATGACGGATTTGTTGGCTCGCTCAGGGCAACTGGGAGAGGCTGAGGATCTCATCAAAGCTATGCCTTTTGAGCCGCAAGCTCTTGCTTGGACGACGCTACTCTCGGCTTGTAGCCAGCAAAGTGATGCGAAAGGAGCTGATGATCGAGCTGCTGGACAGATTATTGATATGCGACACCATGACGCGCACTGCTATGAATCAGCTCCTTACATTCTACTCTCCTCCACAAAGCTTTCGACTGTAGGAGAGACTACGTCTCAAGAAATAATCAGTAGCAAAGCTAAAAAGGAATAAAGTGGTGCCAGCACCTTGTCTGTAACATACGCCCTGGCTAGCTTCTTGGAGGTGACGGCGTAAGTCTCTTCATCCTCGAGTGTTATGTGATCTCTCACCATCTGAGAGCCACAACACTGGATCGCACTCTTAAGCTTGCCATGGTGCATGCCTGTCTTGGATCCCCACTCTCGTCTACCTCTGCTTTTTGATGCTTGAACACCCGATTGTTGAGCGTGTCCGGAGACCAAGTCGGGATGAAAAGCTTAATCACATAATCTCCCTTCATGAAAAAGTGACCGTGATTCTGCAGGTACGATCTTGCAAGGCCTTCATCGATCTCCCAGTCCGCCAGGTACCACACCGTGCCTTCCTCTTTGGCCTTCTTGCCGTTCTTAGAACCTGTTGGATTCTCTGAACTTGAGAAGGCTTCTTCGGGAGGAGCTCCCACAGGAGCACGAAGACAAAGCCGACTTGCCAATCCCCAGCGCAACCACGGAAGCTACCTCTGACGTCTGTGCGTAGCAACTCCTCACCTACACCAGCGGCTCGTGCCTTCTTGAGTATCGCAGACACTGCAGAAACTTATGCCTGGACTTGTCGAGTAGCGGCGTCTTTGAGAAGGCTCCCAGCTGCCCATAGCGGTGTCAGCAATCACTCGCTCTCGTTGCAGACTTTGCGACCAAGCCAGAATAGCCAACATTAAAATTTTGTTAATTAAGCTACAAGTCTGAAACAACAACTAGAAGAATGTGCCCCTTTATGTGAAAATTTAGATGCATGTAAAGGGCTGAGCTGAAGGCTGAAATGAAAGTTGGTGCCTCTATTTTTGCTTGTAAGTAAAATGGTTTTCTAGATCGTTATCTTTGGCCTGAAAGACGTGGTATTGATCATCAAGATTCCCTTGTTTAGATAAGTTCCTCAGGCTATAATGTCCAGTAGGCAGTTATTGTTGTAAGGGAATCTTGCATACATGGAACAATTTCCACTTAATTCTGAGCTGGTTGAGTGATGCTGGGACACAATGGGAGAAGCTTGGACTGAAGTCATGCCAAGCTTTGTGTCTTGGAGCATGGTCATTGTCAAGTTGATTCCTTAATGAACTTGTTGTGGAGGTAGCTCACGATGTCAACTCTTGTTTTCTGCTACAAGTTGTTATAGAGAATTGCAATTTGCTTCACCAGTAGAGGTTGTTGACTTATGCATCTCAAGCCTGAGGACAAAAAACTTGAGCTGCCACTTTGCTTCATTAATCACATTGCTCATTTGTAGAGAATTGTTGCTGTTGTAGTTCTTAAGAACTTTGATGCATTTTGGTGAAACCCCCTTCATACATGGGATCAATGTTACTTGCTCTCCACCAGTGGGAAGTTTGAAATCCTACACAAAATATTTAGCATGCATGACAAACTCATATTTGCTGGTGTATAGAAAGTCTTCTTTGTATGTTAAGAGAAGATTCTTGGTGATGTTGAGATTGTATGGGTTATAATCTTTAAAAATTCATAAAGTCTTAACCTTATATAAACTCTTCAGTCCTCTTAAGTTGGATTGCACAGCAAGAGAAGACTCACCTTGATCATGTTGAGGACTTTAGGATTGAAGCTGAACTCCTTGGTAATGCCACATGCTTGCATGCTCCATTTCCCTATTCTTTTTTCTTGATCTCAATGCATTATGCCACAAATTTAAATAAGTTGAGTGATTTGGGTTCAAATCTCTAACTTGAATGTTCTTTCTGTTATTATTGTCTTCTTGATAGAGCATATTTTCTCTTGATTTTCTGTGCAACTGATGAGTCTTGGTAGATTGTTGGGTTTCATAATTTTGTTTTTAGTCATCATGTCTTTTCTTGATTAGATTTTTTTTTAAATTGAATTCTTAAACTTGATTTTTGAGAATCTTCTTGAAATTGTGTCTAGAACTTACAATTCTTTTTTGAGTTGAGTTATTGAGTTTGACTCTTGAGATTTATTTTTCTATTGGAATCTTGATTTTGATTTTTGTTTGTTTTATTTATGTCAAAGTTTTAAGTTTTGTATTTAAAGTTCTTGGATTGTTGAGCTCATAATTCTCTTCAATATTGGATTCTTAAGATTTAAGGTTGTAATTTTTGAGTGGTTGGGTTTCAAAGTTATAATTTTTACTTCTTCTTAGATTGTTGTTGACAAGGTTGGTATCGATTGATTGGTATTTCTTAAGCTTGTTAAAGTTAACAGTTTAGAGATATTTATTGTTGAATGTTGCAATTACTATTATTTTTGGATTTTTGAATTGTTGGATGAGGAATTGGTCTTTCCTATCTTGATTTCATTTATGAGCCAATTTTCTTTATGTTTCCTCGAAACTATAAAACTTGATTTAAGTCTTTTTTTCTATTATAATTAGCTTTTCTTCTAGCTTGAATGGCTTCAAGCATCCAGATTACTTGTAGTTATTCTTTATTGAGCTTCTCTAGCATAGTGAATTTTCTCTTGACTGATTCTTTCTAGTTGATCTCATAGTGTACAGCTTTTTGTGTAAGTAATTTTGGTATGCCTATAGAGCATCATGGATACAATTGTCTAAGTCTTTTTTATTTATCTTCATTCTCTTCTTAAATATATTTTTAAGGGTTTTATTTGTAAATCTAGCTTGACAATTTCCCTGAGGTTGTGAGGTCATGATCCTCTGGAGCTAGAGAAACTATTCATAAAGGAGTAGAATTGGTGTCCCACCATCTTATCCACAATTGCTTCCATAAAAAGTGTAGGAAAGTGATCCTTTACTTTGTGGTAACCTTGTTCAAATTCCTAAAGTTTATAGAGTTAAAACTTGTTATTTGCTTTTCTTGCAAGGACTAGATTTAAGACCCACTCAGAATGCTCTAAAGGACAAATAAAATTTGCTACTAGCCACTTCTCAATATAAGTAAAGCAAGCATACCTATAGCCCTAAAAGTGCAAGAGATTAAAGCACACTCTCCTTTCACTTACCCTACTATTAAAAGCTCTCTCTCAAATCCTACACCATTGCCTATCAAACCATAAAAATCAATAGTTTCCCTTTGTCCCATAAGGGATTGTCATGTGTTTCCCACTGAATTATAATACAAAATCATCTCCACATATTTTTTCAAAACAAGTGGTTCGACATCATCCAAATAAGACTTGTGGCAAGTGGTGGAGTATGTGATTTAATTTGATGCATTGTTTCACTTATAATGCTTATGATTAAAATATGTAATAGGGCCGTGGCATGCCCTATTTACCCACCCTCCCCCCATCTACTGGAATAACCAATGCAAGAAATAACAAAAGACGATGGCACATGGCATCACTATTGGGGGGGGGGGGCGTGCGGTAGTCATTAAAGGGGTATGAGCATATTTATATTCTATCAAGTTTAGATTGACTGGATTTGTGTCAATTAGTTGCAATACTACCAATGACATGATTTGTCATTATACGAAAATCATACTTAGAAATGGCCTTCTTTAAAGAAGTTATAGCCCCTCTCAAATGACTCCAGCCGAGTGCATCAATTGTTGAAGGACTTGACATTGATGAACCTCATAAGCCCCCTAGTTGATATGATTCTTTATTAACTGACAAGGAATTGCCTCCCTACCAAGGCTTTTAGCATAAGCAAAAGCAATAACTATGCTGATCCGGCAACTACATCTATTGCTAGATGTGCATGAATTTAGTGCATTATAAAGACCCCCCAAAAACCTACTTTTTATTATCTTCATTATTACAATTAGTATCTAACAATTATTGTGATTTAATGGGTATCTTCCTATCTTCTAGTGATGTGGATTTGTAAATAGTTGAATTTATTTATTAAATAAATTCACTATATACAAAATGTTAATATATGTAAGCAATCAAAGGGAACGACTCGAGAGATGATCCATAGATGCTCAAATATAAAGAGAAAGGGCCCATGAATAAGAGTGCACCCCGTTTTTCAATCGGTTAAAGTTTTTGGAATACTTGGGGTTAAATTGTAAGGAACCAACTTGCCAAGGTGTCGTAGGCTAAAGGATCCCCCAAAGCATGACCAAAATGACAAAGAGTTCATTGAACGGGACCGAGTTGAAGATTGAGTCCAAAACCGACTCTGAGACCAAATTCGAGATAGAGTCCGGGATCGAGTCCAAGGCCGAATCGGAGACCGAGTTTGAGATAGAGTCCGAGATCCAAATCAGGTCTGAGACCAAGTCCTAGGTCGAGTCCGAAGTCGAGTCCAAGATCGAGTCCGAGATTGAGTCCGAGATCGAGTCCGAAATCGGGTCCAAGTACTAATATGGGTCAAGGGGTGAAAGCCCAAAGCATGCATCTCCCGGGGGGCTGCAGGGGGTTCCAAAAGTATAGTAGGGATAGTGAAGTCCAGAAACCAGTCTTGAAGGAACTCTCTAGTGGTGCTTCCAAACTAGCTTGAGGTTGAGATTGGGGCCGAGGGGCCGTGGGTGGGAGTGAGCAGGGACTTGGGTGGTGCCGGAGGGGCCACCCCAGGAAGTGCTCAAGAGCAACTCCCATTCTTGAAAGGGAAACCGACTGCAGTGCTCCCGGCGGCTCATGTGGAGTGGTGCCCCACTTGAGTACCATGCGGCTCATTGGTCCTTGCCCTTCCTAGGGGCTTGGGGCTTCCTTCAAGATGGAAGTGGGGGGGTAGAGGTGCCCATACCGGGCCGTTAGGCCACGGTGTTTCGCCCTGACATCCCAAAGCAAGTGTTGCACCCAAGACTTAGGATTTAGAGGGTCCCATGATCAAATCTTATGGTACCAAGGGGTGTTAGAAACTTGGAGGCTTGGTGTGCTTGGCTGCTTGTGCCTGTAGGGAGTGTAGCCGAACCTTAAGTCCAGTCTAACCCGGGGAGGGGGATTGGGAGAGATTTGGGAATCCGTGGATGGATGGCTAATGCTCCGTTGCTCGTGCAGTGAGTAGCTGAAACTAAGTAGGACCAAGTAAGAGTTGGTACCATAGACGGGAACCTTGGCGAGGGAATTTAGCAATAGTCAAGGAAGTGTTGGATGGATAGATGAGGTAAGTTGGTAAATTGGAAAGGAAATATTTGTGGCTTACAATTTGGTATCGGAGCCTTTTTCTCAGTTTTAGCGAAGGATAGAGGCGGATTGCTGGGAGATGGCAAAGGCAGGGCAAAAACAAACCAAGGCGGAGACAAAACCTCCTCCAGAGCTGGAGCCTCTAGTCGAACAAAAGGCTATGGATGAGGAATCCTTGCATGAGGAGGACTCTAGTGAGGAAACTTCCAAATAGGAGTCTGGTGGCAAGATGTGGTCGTCCAAGGCTCGATTAGACGTTCTAGAAGGACAATTGGCATAGACCAATGCCCTGTTGGAGATTCTCATACGCAAGCTAAAGCGTGACAAGAAGCAGAAGAAAAAGCAAAAGACTGCGGATGCTGGCAACGCAGAAGGTGCGGACCCTTTGGTAGGGACTGAGGTAGAACCAAACAAGGTCGAATAGACTGAAGTGGAATCAGTCCCTCAGGTAGTTCCCAAGTACAAACCAAAGCCCCCATCGGTCTTTAAGGGAGTGAATAACTATAAGGTGGTGGAGGATTGGTTTTATGATATGGAGGATTACTTTCGAGCGTTGCGGTTACTTTCGGAGAAGGTCCCATGTGCAAAACCATACTTGGCAGATAATGCCAAGTCTTAGTGGAGAACGACGGAGGCTAACGAAGGACCGGTGGCCACTTGGGACATGATGAAGGCGAGGATCCACGTGACTTACGTTCCTCCGAATGCTACTCTGCATCTAAGAGACGAGCTAAGTAGGCT